TTCCGGCTTATCCGGGTTTCCGTTCTTAAGGTAGTATAGTCGCTTTTTATTCCTATAGTAAAACCGATTCTAGGTTATATTCATTAGTAGCGGGTAACGGATATAGTTATAAAGCTAATCGAAAATACTATAAAATTAATATTCGAATTTCTTATAATTACTCGATTAAGTTAATAAAATCCTATTACGTATGCCTCGGTAATCTAATATAGTATTACGTCTAAAGCTTACTAAGGTTCTTTCGTTAGTTTATAAATTATAAAGACTTAAGTTCCGAACCGCGTTTACTAGGAACGGGTTTTCTTATTAATATTATTAATCGGCGCCGTACGTATTCCTAGGGCTATAAGAGCTATTTTTTTAACGGTAGTTCTACGAAGTTATCTTTATCTCTAGAGCGTTAAGTCGGTCGTAAAAGGCCTATATACTAGCTTTCTAACTAGTACCTAGGTAGCCGTAAGAAGGTCTAGGCTACGAGGAAAGCGGTAGTAAAGGTATCTAAAGGCTAGGAGTCGTTAATCGTTAAATTATTTATATTATAAGCTTCTCGGGTTCTTTAAAAGTTACCATTTTTTATTATCATCGTTCTTCGGCTTAGGCCTTATCGGTAATTTATACTACTATATAACGTTCCGCTTACTTATAAAGCTAGGTATAAAGAGTCCGGTAGTCGATATTTCCGATTTTATTATGGTTATAGTTTCCCGTTTTATAGAACTTTATAATTAAGGATATTCAGAGTTTATCGGTTAAGTATCCTACTTTTTAAGGAAGGTTTCCGTTATCGTTTACGAGCTTAGAAAGACGTTTATAGTTTATAAGATACGTAAAGATCGCCTTAAAATCGTTAATTACGTTATCTCGTTTTAGTTATACGAATTTACGTTTAACGTTAGCTTAGCCTCGTTTATCGGTAATCTTAAAACGGTACTTTAAGACTATAATAATAACTCTTTAAATTATTTAATCCTTCGTAACGTCGTTAATACGCTCCCTAATAATCTTAGTCGTAATCTATTCGCCGATTTCCTTAATCTTATCGTCGTCGCTTATACGGTAGCGGTTAAATAATCGATTTACCTTCTTTAGTTACTAGGTTACGTTATATTTATTAAACTTAAGCCTAAGGTAATCGGTAAGGTTAGGGAATCTAATAATTAGTATTACGATAATTAAGGTAGCTACCGGTATATTCTAATTATTAAAGGCCCCGTTATTATTATTTTAAGATAATATTATAGGGATTAGCGGAATAAGTATAAAGCCGCGGGTAAGGGGTAGTTAAGTAGGAGTTTTATCGTCGTCCTTTTCCTCTTCGGGCGAATATAAGGGCGGAAAGCTAGTATCGACTCTTAAGGTTTTTATTAGTAGTTTAATCTTTATTACTTCGGGTCCTAATAGCGATTTACTCCGTTTCCTAGCTACGGACTCCGTCTAGTTTATCGGTACGAGATATAAAGTAGAAAGAGGGGTAGTAGGAGTCTTATTATCTAACATAAGGGTAAAGGTAAGATAGTTATTATTTATATCCTAATACTTTTCCTTTAGCATAGGTATGTTATTATTTATTATATTATCTCGATTAATAAGGTCCGGGTATTATACGAGCTTTTTTAATCTGTTAACGCCTAACTAAAGTACGATACGTATTCCCTGGATTAATAATTTAATTATTATAAATAAGTCGACGATAATCCCTCTTATTAAGGTTTAGAAATCCTAACGTATAACCTTCGTTAAGGTAATACGTATAGGGGATAGATCCCGAGTAAAGGATCGCGTTAGATACGATACCGGTTATAGCTATGAGCCGGTTTCGATCTAACGGGGGCTATTTAATAATATTAACAGTATTATCGCTAGGCGTCGTTTTACGACTATATTAATACTTCTCGTTATATTAGTTATTAGTTAGTAATATAAGGCTAGTTTATATATAAGTATACTTATTAGCTCGCCTTTAGTTCCGTTTCCTTAATCCTTTATATTTACGTAGTCCTATTAATATTAATTCCTGGTTCTTTTTAAAACTATCGGTTATTAGTAGTTATTAATCTATTAATTCTATTTATATTATTAATATTAATATCTATATTATATCGTATACTATATCGTCGAGTCGCTACGTTTAGGTATCTTAAAATGCCTTTAATATAATAAGTTATTAGTATTTATATATTTAATTTATATCGATTAATAAGTTTAAAAGGAAAAAGAAGCTATCGTAAGGTCGGTTAAGGTATAATTACTATTAGCCTTTATCCGCCCTTAATATTAGTAAGGGAGTAGCGGGTCGTATAGGTTATCATAATTTATATTAAGGCGTTCGTACGTCCTCTATATAGATAGGCGAGCGTAAGGGGGGTTACCTTAATCGTTAAGAGCGCTATCTACTCGCGCGAGATATACTATGCTATTAGCGGTTCGAGGAAGCGGTTAGTATCGAGGGCTAAGTACTATCCCTAGTAGCGGTTAATATTACGATAGAAGTTTTCTAGGCTTACGGGTACCTTCCTATAAGTAGGTAAAAGGTTATACGAGGTTTACGTTAATCGTTATAAGCGTTATTTATTCGTCGTATTAGATCGTAGTATCGATAGCTTATTAGCGTTATAAGTATTAAGGACTAGGTAGTATCTTAATGGCTATAATATCGTAAAAGTTCCTAGGCTTATACGTACCTCCTTATAATAAATAAATAACTATAAGGCGGGATACTTTATTTAACGTAAAACGCGGACTACTTCGCGGGTTAAATAGCGGCGCCGACGGCGATCGGTATCCTTTAAATCCTAGTAACGTAATAAAAACTCCGTAAACTAAAGGTTAAGGGGTCGAAAAAATTATAGGGTAGTCGCTATTAAGGAGGAGTAAAGCGTACGCGATACTAAAGACCCGGATAGGTTTACTCGAAAGTATATTCTATCGAAGACTATAATACGTACGATAATCTAAGATAGGTAGAACTAATACTACTATATTAATCGAGAGGCAAGGAATCTAATGTAGTTATCGTATCTTAGTTATACCCCTTAGTCGTAGAGATATAATAGTCGCTAGCCTGAAGGTATAAGAGGTAAGGAAAGAAAAGGAGTAAAACGCAAAAGTTACTTATTCGGTTATAGCGGTACGACGAAGTAACTTAAGCGCTTATAACTAAAATAAATATACTAATCGGAGAACGACGAATCTAATAATAAAAACGAATCTTTAATTAAGTTAAAAATAATAAAGATAATAATCTAGCTAGGTAATAAACTCGATAATTAATATAGCATATCCCGTACTTACGGGAGCTATGGTTACTCTATATAGGCATAAGGCCTATCGTAGCGTATTACGTAATGCATTAAGAGGGCATATCTTACCGCACTACTACAGTACTTCGGGCGCAGCTTAACTTTACTAAGCGCTATATTCTAACGCTTTATTATCTTTCTTCGGGAAAAAGTTTTTTCGCCTTTTTTAACTACTAATTTCGTCGATTATAGATATTTCTGAACGTCTTTATATCGTATCTTCTTTGAAATTACCGTTTAAATTTATGTTTTCCCGGGTTTTCGGTTATCTTCTATCGGTCCTTTCTCCTAGGTACTACCGGCGCGTATATCCAAAAGCTAATACCGCTTTTCTCATTATTAACCTTACTAGCTACCGCTTCTTTAAGTACTACATCGTCGTTCTTACTATTAATTCCGCTCGCTTTAATATTAATTCTTTCAATGATAAAGAAGGTTAATCTAGCTTTTTATTACAGTTTTACGAGTTATTCGCTAGGTAAAAGCTATATATTAATAAACTAAAGCTAAACGTGGGGAAAAAGAAGAAAAAGGAACGCCTTATAAGCCGTACCTATAACAGCTAGCCTTATCCTCCGTAGGTACTGAGGGCTGATCACGTGCTATGCCCTGACACTAGCTAGGGCCCTACAATGGACACAGCCTATTACATAGGCCGTACTTATAATAGCTAGCCTTATCCTCTGTAGGTAATAAGGGGCTGATTACGTGCTATGCCTTGGCACTAGCCAGGGCTCTATAATAGGTATAGCCTATTATATAAGATAGGCGATTATCGCTTTATAAGTAATTATCGCCTTCTTTTTTAAGCGTCGTTTAACGAGTAACGTTTTTAGCATTTCTTAACGTCGCTCTTATAATTAAAGACTAGAGTCTTTTTATTCACTAGGTATCTTCATTCTTCTCTTTTTATATCTTCTAACCCGTACCTATTAGTACTCTCTTTAACCGTAGTTTTTAACATTTTACTTTTTCTTAATATTAAAGAAGCAGAAAATAAAAAAATTTCATTTTTTATTTCTTTAATAATTATAATTTATTACCTTATAAATATAAATATTATAAATATTATGAAAATAAAACTAAGACACAAAATCACAACCCTATATATAGGTGTCCAAGTACGTACCGAGGTCTCCAGGTCCTTACCTAATACGCGTAATGTGCACAGGCACATACAAACGCCGCAGGCTGTTTTATTACTTAGGGATTAGCTCTCCTTATACGGTTGCTGCGTAAGAAGGCAGGGCTACGTCGCAATTCTTCGCCGTTCTTATTGTCGTATCTCACTAATGGGCCAAAAGATTTCAGCCTCTTTTCCTTTTCTCCTTCTATTCTGGCTCCGTTCACTAGGCAAACAGCAAAGAACAATGTTTTTTTATGGGAGAGTCTCCCGATCCTTAATCTCTCCCTCATTACACAATTAGAAGGGGAAAAGAGAAAAAGGAAAGGAAAACGGAGATAGAGACTGAACAAACGACGAGAATACTCCCTCCGTCCTAAACTTAGGCGAAGGTAAGTCAACTCCTTTCCATTCCTGCCCAAATCCTCCCTCCCCCTCATGCAGCGTTGACTTGCTTAGGTGTTTGGAGGCAAAGTAACTAACGCTATGGTGAGAATATAGTTGAGTTGGACGTCCACACCTACGGCTACCAAAGAACACTCTGCTCCGAAGTCGTTGAACTTTCGCATCCTTTATTACCACCACCCTATCGCATTCCGCATATCGCAAATCCACACACACGCCGTCGCCATCCCTCTCGCCACAGAAACGCACAAGATCCCCACACTATCCAACTCCGACCTGCTTACGCCGTTCCCATAGCCATCGTTGGCCCACCTCATCCGGGTTCGCTCCCGGCCACAAGTCGCCCTAATGGCTGCCAGAAAATTACAGCAGGAAATCGACAAGTGTTTCAAGAAGGTCGCCGAAGGTGTTGCCGAGTTTGACGGCATATACGAGAAGATTGAGCAATCGAACAACCCCGCCCAGAAGGAGAAGCTTGAAGACAATCTCAAGCGAGAAATCAAGAAGCTGCAGCGGCTGCGTGACCAGATCAAGACATGGGCCGCTAGCAACGATATCAAGGACAAGGCTCCTTTGCTCGATCATCGGAAGCTGATAGAGACGGTAGGTGATGGGCGTATCCCCGTGATACACAAATTCCGTCGTCGCATTGCGTCTGCTTACCGCGTTGTCCTCTAGCAAATGGAGCGCTTCAAGGCTGTGGAGAAGGCGATGAAGACCAAGGCATACTCAAAAGAGGGTCTTTCCGCCGCAGCCAAGCTAGATCCGAAGGAGCAGGCTAAGGTCGAGGCTAGCGAATTCCTCAGCAATATGGTAGACGAGCTCGAGCAGCAGATCGAAGCCCTTGAGGCCGAAGGCGAGTCGATACAAGCTACCATGAAAAAGGGCAAGAATCATGCCTCTAAGGCGGATCGCATGGCCGCCATTGAGCGCGTGATAGAAAGACATAAATGGCACCAGGGGAAGCTCGAGCTCATTCGGCGGTCGCTGGACAACGGTGGTGTCGAAACCGAACAGGTGAACGACTTGGAGGAGAGCATCCGCTATTACGTCACGGACGGCATGACGGATGACTTCATACAAGATGAGGGGCTCTACGACGAGCTGAACCTGCAAGAAGAGGAGGACGTCTACGGAATGAGTCAAGAGAACGACCGGGTCTCGTCGCAGGACACGCAGTCTATACAGGAAGATACGGTCGAGCAGGATTCGCGGTCCGGCAGTCTACCCGGTAGCTTACCGAGTAGTCTACCGGGGAAGTCCCGGAGCGCTATCGAGGCGGCGGCGGCAGCCGGGAGGCGGCCATCGGGACAACTCAGGTCCCCCCTACCAACGCTAGCAACGTTACACAATCCACTGCCGAGCGTGAGCAACGCCAGCACTGCCAATTCTGCGATGAAACCCGCGTCACTACCGACGCGGCCTGCCGGAGAGGGCCTGAAATACGCTTCGGCGGCGGCAGCGGCGGCGGCAAGCGACAAGAACAACGTAGGCATCGCGCCACTCCCACCACCTCCCGGGTCTCAACCAGCTGTGCTAAGCACGGGGATCTCGCCTCTGCCACCGGCCGCACCCTCGAAGGCCAGTGCGGCAAATTCCCCCAATATAGCCTTCGTACAACCGGCGCCGTCGGAACAGAAGTCAGGAAATCTATCAGTTCCGACAGTAGCGCCCGAACCTAAGACATCTGACTCGGCTGGCGTGCCGTCGGCGCCTACGTCAAAGAGGTCGGAGAAGGCGGCGTCCTCCAAGGCCGCAGGTAAGGCACCAGCGGGCACTGATCAAGGGGAATCACCGAGGGGTAAATCGTGCAACGTGTGTCGTCTTTTTCTTCGGGTGTGCTAACGAGAGCAAGTAGCGGCGGTGGTGGCAGCGGCAAGCCAAGCGAATGGCGTGGCGAACGGGATCAGGCCCATAGAGGAGAGGGAGGAAGAGTCGATATACCACCTACCGGCGTCGCTACAGGACCTAGTAGAGTCGTTCGAGGTGACGAGGAAACGGGCCGCGGCGGTGAACAGCGCATCCCACCTGCGGATGATGGCGGCGTCGCAGGCAAGCGTCGGCGGGCCGGACGCGCTGGACTCGGAGGCGCCACGGACGTACCGGCCAGAATCGCGGTACCCGTCGGCGTCGGGGTACCCTCAGGAGCCGCTAGCGATCTTCGACGACCCGCGTCTCTACTCGCGGATCGAGCCAGACACACTCTTCTACGTCTTCTACTACAAGCAAGGCACGTACCAACAGTACCTCGCCGCGAAGGCGCTCAAGGATCAGAGCTGGCGATTTCACAAACAGTACCAAACTTGGTTCCAGAGGCACGAGGAGCCGAAGAGCATCACGGAGGAGTTCGAACAGGGCACGTACCGCTTCTTCGACTACGAGTCTACTTGGTAAGCGACGGACGAGCAGCAGCAGATTCTCAGGATTTTCCTTCTCTTCTCTTTCTTAGTTTTGTTGCGTTCATTTTCGTATATACCTGAACTTCCCTTCTTCTCCCACCCTTCCTTCCCACGTGCTTTATATGCAGTAATCCTTGCTTCTTGTATCTGTTTTCCTAATCAAATCTTATTAACATTAATACGATACAAAGGTGAGGAATTTGGCTAACTGTGCTCTCAGGATGAATCGCAGAAAAGCCGACTTCAAGTTTGCCTATCGCTACCTCGAGGACGACGTATGATGCTTACGGAGGTAGTGTTCAGACGAATCAGGCCCGATAGCAGACGGAGGACGGAGGGTGGCGGGGTTCGACATCGCCGCAGCAGGGGTGTCTCCCTACTTCTCTCTGTCACTCTTTGTTTTATTCTCGTGTGAGGAGGAAGAGGATGCCTCTCCTTGCCCTTGCAGAGGTTGTTGTTACTGCTTGTCTAATCTAGTCTACTTGAGTCCGCCGCAGCCTCCCCCCACTGCATCGTTGATAAGGATTCAGCCCTCACATGCAGTATTTTTTCCCGTAACTAACCAACATACTCGCCATCCGGCCGGCCGATTACCCGATTAACCCACCTTACGAGTAGCAACCTGCGGCTGAATTTCGTTGCAGGAGTGGGGGGGAGCAGAGAGGAAGGGGTTTCGATGAGTCCAAAGATTCATGGAACAGGTTGCATCCCCTGTTGCGCTATTCTGTAGGGAAATACATACAGAGCTGCCCTGGTTCTCTGCCCAGTGCGCTTCTTTCTTCTTCCCCCATTCCCGCTTTTGTTCGCCATTCGAACAAGCTAACTTGGATTTGACATGGCATCGACGTAGCCTAATTTATTTGGCTTGATCTAGAATTTACGTATATATGTTCCTTTATCTCCTCTTCCCCGGTCGATTAAATTAATCTTGAACCTGCGACAGCCACTCGCGGTTTACCAGTATTTAGGTAGGTAGTTATTCCGGACACCGCAAAGGAATCGGAGAGGTGCTGGAGAGGAAGACGTCTGTCGTTGGCGCTCGGTACACACCAATCAAGGGAGACTGTGTCAGGTGTTGGCGGCGCGGATGCGCGGCTGTTTGACGGCCGCGCGAGATATCCACACGAGGTAAGAAGAACCAGGACCGCAACCGGAACCGGGGCAGGGACGCGGTGGGGACGTCTTTGCCGGCCGGGCCTATCGGATGTAGTTCCGGATGTATATGTTATCCCCCATATGCCGCTTATCGTATATGCTTACAGACCGTATATCGGTGCATGATGTATGCCCGAGCGAATGATCCATAAATTCATATTCACATCTGCCTTTCACATCTGCCTGTTTATGTTCATGTAACATATGTATGTACCTATATATATATATATATATATATCGGCATGCATGCCGGAACACGTCGTCCTCTTCCTTGCTTGTCTGCAGGGTGGCTTGCCTCCCCCATTCGACCACGAGGATCGGAGCGGGCCATGTCTGCGGTCACGCGGAATACAGAGGGCTCCATCATGGCGCCGTCGAAGCCCCGTTCCGGCACGTCGCGCAACGAGTTGTCACCCTTTTCAATGATATTTTCTCCCAGCCCCGCCTCCTCTTGTTTCTCAATGGATCTAGCTGAGACGCGTATTGGGGAATGTATTTATGTATTTGCAATCTTTTGAAGAGGCTTCTTGTCACGGCCCCGCAGACGCAACTCGTGTCACTTATGGTTGATGAGTTGGGACAGGCCGCAGACAGGGGGAAGGGTCCCCGTAAGGCAGACGAACACGCCGAGACCGGTTTCTCGAGCGCCTCTTTTCCCTCCCCGAATGTCCTTAACTCGCCTCTCATACCCCGGGCACCTACTTGACTTTCTAGCCTTTCATTCCTATTCCGACCGACCTATTGTCTGATCTGATCTACTTATGCGCCCATCCTTCGAACCCCCTCACTCATAGACACGTCTGCGTGTAAAGCTGTAGTCAGGGATGCGCGCCTACTCACTAAATAGCCGAACGTGACCACACTCAACTCATCACTCAGAACCGGCGCCGGCACCACCGTTAACGACGGCGACAGTGGCTGAGCTACTGCACCCGCATCTCATCGACATCCCCCCTCCTTATTCTGACACGCCCATATACTTATATATACTATACTTAAATACATCTGTACCTATAGGATCTTACGTGAATATCAATCAATAGGTAGGTATACAATATATAGCCAGACGAGGAAAGCCGCAAATGTCGCACCCGCAGACTCTCTTCGCGCAGACGGTCTTCCATGGACCCTCACTGCTCCGGTCGCGGCTCGCAACGGTGGGACGCGCGACGACGCGGGCCCAGTTGCGCCATTTGCGTGAAACGGGACGCTACGACTGCTTCCGCCTGAAGCGGCAACCGGCTCACGATACCGACCACCGGTGGCCGTGTCCGGCGCCGGCCTACTGGGACAGCGACGTCGCTAAGTGGCTCGAGGGTGCCTGCTACCTACTGGCCGCGGAGTACGATGCCGAGATCGACGCCGCCATTCGCGAGCTCGTCGCCCTCGTCCGCGCCGCCCAACAACCCGACGGTTACCTCAACTCCTGGTTCATCGTCGCTCGGCCCGAGAGCGAGAGGTGGACCAACATCAGGGACCAGCATGAGCTGTGAGTTCGCCAATGGTGGCGTTCGTTTCCGAGACCGCTTGACGGCCCAACAGCTTACCACAATGCCAAAAAGATATAACGCCGGGCATCTAATAGAGGCCGCACTGGCCCATAGCAACTACTACAAGAACAACCTCCTCGTCGAGCCGATCGAGAAGTATGTCAAACTGATAAGTGAGATCATCGGCCCCGGGCCGGAGCAGGTCAGTCTATGAACGCCAGCTACTTACCTGCCGAGTTTCGAATCCCGCCCCCTCCCCCCACTTCGTTGAGTGTGCTGACACTAATCCATCACGGGTAGAAACACGCATACCCGGGTCACCCGGAGGCGGAGCTAGCGCTGCTACGCCTGTTCACGGCAACGGGCAATACCAAGGCCTACGACCTTGCTCGGTACTTCGTCGAGGAGCGCGGTAACCCAATCGGCCAGGACGGACGGCCCTATTATGAGTGGGAGCGCGACCAGCGTGGTGACAGCCCCTATAAGCGCCCCGACAGTTACCAGATGCACGACAGTTACTTCTATAACCAGTCGCATCTGCCCATCCTTGAACAGAAGACCATTGAGGGCCACGCCGTGAGGGCGATGTACCGTGCGTTTCTGCTCTTTTCTCCGCCATGAGGTGGTTCCCCGCAAAGACAACTCGTGGTTCTAGGACCCAATATCAACCTCGCCCACACGGCGAGGGGAAGGAGGGGGCGTATAATCGCTGACAGTCTCAATTGTAGTTCTAACCGGGGTCGCCGACCTTCTGTGTCTCGACGAGCTTGGGATCAAGTCCTTCCCGCGCAAAAGCGAGTACTTTGAGGCCCTGACTAGGCTATGGAATAACATGGTCGATAAGAAGATGTATCTTACCGGCGGCATCGGCGCCGTATGGCAATGGGAGGGGTTCGGTATCGATTACTTCCTCCCGCAAGGTTCCGACGAAGGCGGGTGTTACAACGAGACTTGCGCATCTATCGGCGTGATTATGCTAGCTGAGCGCATGCTCCATCTCGACTTAGACTCTAAATATGCCGATGTGATGGAGCTATGTCTTTATAACGCTGTTATGACGGGTGTGAGTCTTGCGGGGACTGCATTTACCTATGTGAACCAGCTCGCGAGCTCAGAGGCGGATAAGAGCCGCCGAGAGGACTGGTTCGACACGTCATGCTGCCCACCTAATGTGATGCGACTCTTCGGTTGCCTGGGGGGATATCTCTGGGACTACGGAGGTAGCGGGAAGAGTGCCCACGTTAACGTGCACCTATACACGACAGCTCGGGTCGGGTTCGAGGTTGGCCAGCAGCAAGTCATCCTCGAGCAAAAGTCGAACTGGCCCTGGGAAGGGAATATTCTGTTCCAGTTACAGGCGCCGGCGGGCACGAGCGTCACTCTCAGGTTGCGGATCCCCGGCTGGGCTCATAAGAACTTCACGGTACGTCACGCCCGGCCACGCCCGCCCCCAACCAATACCCAATCATTATCACTACGGTCGTCGTAACTACAATCAGCTGTCAGTGCGATGTAGCTTTTTTTAACATAACATTCTCGCAGCTTACGCCGAGCTACCCGCCCGCGGAGATCAAGAAGGGCTACCTAGTCCTCCCGCCAGCCTATACGTCAGAAAACAAGGTCTTCGCCATCCAGATTGACGGCTTCAAGCCCCGATTCGTCTCTCCTCACTCCTATACCAATCAGAACACGGTAACCCTAGCCCGGGGCCCGCTGATATACTGTGTTGAGGACGTCGATAACCCGTGGGAGCGAGACCATTTCCGCAATGTCGGGATCAGATCCGACGCTGAGGTGACTGAGAGGGACGAGGCAATCGACCAATCAGGGGAGCGATATATCTCCCTCCGCTGCCTTGGCTGGACCCGCAAGGTTGGTGATCGGTCCGAGCCAGCGGCCGGAACCCAACCCGGATCCTCGTCCCTTCTCCCACAGACGGTCGTGGCGGAACAGAAGGACCTGGTCTTCATTCCATACTACCTCCGGGCGAACCGTGGGGGGAGAGGTCACATGAGAGTTGGCCTGCTAAGACAATAGAGGAGAGAGGTCGATCCGCATTGCCATGCCTGACCTACTCCCCCCCCCGGCCGGTGACGTACGCTCTCCTTCGCCACCGCACAGGCCGGCAGGTTATTGAACGTCGTGAATAAATTGTTGCTGTTACGGCCGCGTAGTTGAAATGAACCTTTGGACGGCAACTTGGTCTCAGATGCGGCTAGCCACCTCAGCCCGCTCCCCTCCCCCAAGCTGCGACCTCCGATCTCTGGGGACTACCTAATCTAGGTATTCCACTACACCTACCTAAAACCCGGGTTCCGGATGCAACCTGGATGGTCTCGGCCTTAGATTCCCAATCTATCTACTATCTAGGCACGTAGACAGGTATTGTATCGATGGAGGGGGCGCAGCTGACTGGGAGGAAGCTCGAGAGTCGGCTCGTCCACGTCCTGCCTGATTCGTGGGTTTCTCGCAAGAAATCTGAGCGAGCGTCTAGCAAACTATTGGTGTCGGCCTAGATATACCGTACATCCATACATGTTTCACGGCCTTGTTGCTATTGTACGTGTGCTGTTATTATGCATGTACTCGGGAGAGGATTGACTGTCTTCGTTTTCTTCTTTTTGGGTAGGTAAAGGAATGGAAATGAGCAATTGCTAGCGTTCCCCCCCCTTCCCTACTGCCCCCTCCTCCGCCACCCCCCAAAATACTGGCAAAAAAGGAAGAGAAAAGAGAATACGCTACACATACCCCCTTCAACCACTATTCTCCTACAGAACGAATCTCTCTGTCCTGATATGGCTCGGTCCTCTCTCGTGTCCTACGGAGGTGCTCCGCGACTGACGCATACATTGCGAGTCGGTACAGCCTTTACCTGGGACCAATCATTGCGTCCTCTATATCGGTCCTTATTCGCGATCTTCCCCCGAGGTTCTCCCCGCCTCCCCCTGCTCCAGCCAGCATCATGGCACACGCCTGTCTCGAGCCCTGCTATGTATGGTGGGCAGATCGAGCCCTGTTCTCATGCATCTCCATCGGCCAATGGTGCCCCTGACTCCCCTCACCTGGTACCTGACCCATAATCGGCAAGATATCCCGACGGGCCTGGTCCTAAGCGCACCATCCGAGTTCCGTTCGGACCCTCCACGACCTATCGACATGGTCGTCGCATGCAGTGAAAATGCTTCTAGAAACATATGAGAGACAAGATGCCGTTAATCGGGTTGCATTGGACGGACCCAGTCTCGATACGCCCGAGCTACGCACCGTGTGCGCCTACCCCTACGTCGAGCGAGACCGATTATAATACTTACCTACCGTCAAGAAGGGTGACTAGCATGGACGTCTAGAGCTCCAGGCGAGAAACTATTGCACGGCCGCCCCACAGATGGACAGGGTGAACGCTGTCGTGGCTGCTAGAAGCAACGGCTGGCCCGAGAGTTCCTCTCCGGGGACTGAGTCCCGCCAGGAGAAGTACCAGTGCCCTCGCTGCCCGAGCAGCTTCAAGAGACCCGAGCATCTTAAGCGGCACCAGCGCAGCCACGATGGCCACAAGCCATTCGTGTGCTCCGTGTGCCTCAAGCGCTTCTTTAGGAGGTGAATAATACCTACTCGTCTGGCAATAACAAGATTGTCACAACGATGGCACTGCCTCTCTCAGCATCTCTCAATAATAGACGTATGCTGACTCGCGCGAAGCGACATACTCACCCGACACGAGCTGATGCACCTAGCTCTCCAGCGGGGCAGCGACGGAAACGCACTGCCGCGGAAGCGCGCATGCACAGAGTGCGCGCGAGCCCGGGAGCGGTGCTCGAGGGACGAACCCTGCCTCCGATGTGCCTCGAAGGCCCTAGTTTGTCTGTACCCAGACGACGCGACGTTATCCTCTAACCGAATCCCATCTATGGCCTCCTCCCGCTCCACCCACGCCAACGCCAATGGTACCGGGATCACCAAGAATAAGGAAAAGATGGAAGCCGCAGTGACTGACTCCACAGGCAGGACCGGGCAATGTGGCCGGCTACCGCTGTCACTGTCACCACTAGACGGCCTCGGAGCTCGTTTCATGACTTCTTCTCCGCCTTCGGCTGCTCTAGGCGAGTGGGGTCGTGGGTGTAACGCGGAAGGGGATAGAGATTACAGAGATGACGCGGAGAGCGGCGGCGTTTTTCACGAATTCCCGCACGCGATCGGGCTCTCGGACGTGGACGCCGAGAATAGAAAGTCATTATTGGCGACGCCGCAGACGACGCAGGTAGCGCTGTATGCGCCCGATTTCGGTAGTGAAGGTGGGCAGCCGCCACCGCCGATGCATTCGTCGCCGTCTTCGTCCTTCGCCAGCTGGGTCGACGCTCGACCGCGGCGGATTAACCTCAGGGCGTACGAACTGATCGCGAGCGGCTTCGAGGAGCTCTGTCTTAAGCGCGAGCATGACGCGGTGGTGGCGTGCGGCAGCGGCGACGATATCTCCGTATCCCAGCGTACGGCGCGGCATGAGATTCTCGTTAAGTTGTACTATGAGCACTTTAGGCCGGGGGTGGGTTAAGTAGTCAGATTCACGCTACCGGTGATACATATATCGAATCACTCCGCTATGCTTCGGTGAAGCTGCTGAGAAATTGCCATACCTATGTCAAATGGCAACGGGCTATACCCCCACCGGGCTACCCTGCCTTCACCAAGAAACAGCAAACTTTTAACTACGTATAACGTTATCAATATAAGTCTTTAAAGGTTATAAAGTATATCGTTCGGATTGTCGTTTTCAGCTCTTTAAAATGATGAAACCTTTATTAAATATGGAAATCTATATTAAGTATGCTTTTATATATAATAAATATATAGATTTTTAATATACTATAATAATAATGCTATATTAAAGCTATTCTCTATTTATAAAATCAAACTCTGCATTTAAAATAGTAATATATTTATAATTCTTTTGTATTTTTATTTTAAACATGAAATAGGTATTAATCGTATATAATTATCCCGGTTTCAAAAGCTATTTACAAGGTAAAAGGGTGTAATTTAAAGGAATAAAGTTATACGAGGAGAAAAAGGAAGGAAGGTATGCTTTATTAAGCCCGCGCTTTTAAGAGCTAGCTATATACAGAAGGAGCGGTTACGTACCTTAATACTATATAAATTAAGGCTCTATAATTAAACGTAGCTTATTATATAAGCTTTTCTTTCTGTTAATTAAAGTATTTAAATCGTTTTTAGTTAGTAGCGCTTGTTTCCTTTTTTAATTAATTAACCTTCCTTTTATTTCTTTTCTTATTCTTTCTTCTGAACCTCTCTTCTTTTTATAATAATAATAGCTTTTCCGCTTTCGTTACTTTAATTAACGTAAGTAAATCTCTCTTTTTACAGCTATTCGTTATTACTATATTATTATTAAAGCCGTATTTCATTAGGATATAACTTTCCTTTTAATTCATACGTTCCGTAATATACTTAATTAATTTTTAATTAACGTAACGTTAATAAATATCCTTTTCCTCGTTTTCCAATCCCTTAGGTTTTCTCATTCTTACCTTTCATCGCTTAATACCACGCTTTATACTTACCTTTTCTGTCGACGAAAATAATAATAATAATATAAGTAATATCGCCGTCGTAGCGGCTTTAATAAGGCTAACTTTCCTTATTTTATTATTACTTTCGTTTAATTACGTATTAATCAGTTTCGTAATAAAAAAGCGCCTTCCTTAGCCTTAAATTCGCCGCTTAAGAAGCTACCGCTTTTCCTTTTTAAATTTTTACCGCCTTATATAGTTACTATTCCCCGCTCGGCCGCTACCTACCCGGCGGGCGCCCGCGCCTTTCCCTACCGTCGTTACGTAAATACCTTACGTATTTACTACAATAAAAAAAGCCGGAGCCCGGCGTACGCGAAATACACGATTAACGAATACGGTTATTAATCGTTATAAGTATTAAATACGTTTCGTATAAATAATAATTATTAATAATTTTCAATTTTTTCGTCGCGCTTTCCGTCGTTCGTTAATAAATAATTAACCGTATCTTTATTAACGGTTCTTATTTATGGAACGTTCTTACTTTTATTAACGTCGCTAAATGCTTATTAATCTACGGCGTAATTAATCCGTTAATCTTCTTACTTTTTTTTATTAAATTCTTTTAAAGAATTCGTAAATCTTATAACCCGAACCTCTAGCCCAGCCCTCTGCTTCAAAAAACTGAAACCGTTTTTATTAATCCGTTTATCGTTTTTACTAGCCCGTTTACCGCCTTTATCAATTAGCTTATCGTCGCCGCTACCGTTGTTCCTAGTTTTAATAACGTTATCCTTTAACGTACGGCTTCGGCCTTAGAGAAGCAGATTAACGTCTTAAAAAGCTCCTAACGCTTCCGGCATTCGCGCTTCCGTTCGCTAGCCCGTTCGTCGTCCCGCTTCTCTCGTCGCCGCTTACGCTTTCGCCGTTCTTAATACCGCTTCCGCCTCTTAGCTTTTCCTTTTTCCTTCGAAACGTTAAGTATTAATCGTGTCGCGCGCGCCTACTACTTCCTCGTTGTCTATTTTATTTTCAACGAAAAACCCGAAAAAGCTGATATTTCCGAATTTCTTTTGAAAAAAAAAAGACGACGATCATAATAACGACGACGATTAATCGCTCCTTTTCCTCTTTTTTTTTAATTAAGTAACGTCTTTATAACGTTTAAAAAAATTAACTTCGCGGCCCGATTTTTAAATATTTCATTTTTTAATCAATCGTAATTTTAAATTTTCTTAAGTTATATATTGTTCTTTAAAATCGTCGTTTACTGTTATTAACTTATACTTCTTTTTATAAAATCAAATAATAAATATTAAAAGAATTCTTAATAATCATTTTAACGTATTAAAACTTTACGTCATTTACTTTTACTTATCTTCTTATCTTTTACGTAAAGGATTTCTTTTATTATAAATTCGTTAATTCTTTTAATAAATAATGAAAAGGGTTATAAATCGTTTCGGATTTAGTTTAATAATTCGTCTGTATACGTTTTCTATAATTAATCGATATAATACTTGTTATCAATTTCGGCCAAAATATCTTTTAATTCGATTACATATGAATTAAATACCTTCGCAACTGTATATTTCGTCTTTAATTAATCGAACTTCTTTTTAAATTTATTTATATTATAATAAATAAGATCGTGTTACGTAGATCGGAAGAGCTACGTAGGTACTGAAGTTACTTCTTAAAAGTAACGAAATATAGAAAGAAGAGGGTAAATTAATTAAGTATTTCAAAAGGAAGGAAATAAATAAAGGAGATATGAATTATTTATATATAAACGATAAAAGGTTACGAGCTATACTATATAAGTAAATTAAGAGTTGGGTTAGGTTAGCAAGTAATTAAAAAAGAAATAATGAGCTATATATAGGTAACTCTTTACGTAATATACCCCTTAATTAAGCTCGCGATAACTAGCTTAGTTAAATGATAATGATAATCTAACCATAAGGCTTGCGATTATTAACTTAGCTACTTTCTTAATAAAAATACTAAGTTAGCTTTAACTTTACTTACTTCCTTAGCGTTTTAAAGTAATATATTCGTAGCTTCGGTTACCTAAACCTTTATACTATACTTTTAATAACTTATAATATCCTTTTATTTAATTATTATATTAATTTTTTAATATCCTAATAAAAGAGATATATCGTAGCTCTTGATTAAATCTATCTACCGTATGCGTTATATATATAAAGGCTCTCATTATATTACTCCATATTATTATTTTCGCGTGCGAACCCTTCCGTAGTTTTATTAAGTTAATACCCGGTAACGCTCCTCCCTATTTTCAAGCTCTTATACTATCAAAGAAAATTCTCCTATTTTCTCTTAATAATTCTCTTCCTTCCTTTTTTTCCTCTATGGAAATATATTTAAAGATAACCTAATATGTTTCTTTTTAGTTTCTTATTGCCTTGTATTATAAACTTAACTTATATATTACTTCGTTCGTCCGTATTCTATTTAAATAAGTATTCTTTTAATTATAGTACTGCCTTATTATTGCTTACTTTTATTATGAACTTATAATAAGTTATTAATACGAGTTCAATATTAATATAATAAGCGTAAGATATAAGATAAGCTTACGTTTTATAATGTTAATATGAATATAAGAAATTAAATATTAATAATTCGATAGAATATTTAATTGCTTTAGTTCTTAAGAAATCTTTATTAATATTAATACCGCGGTTAATTTATTAAACAAAGATATAAGTTAATTTAAGAGCTACGTTTAAGAGCTTAATAAAAAGCGAGCTGAGGATTTTGTTACGCCTGATTGAAATTTAACCGAATACGTAAAGCCCGTTACGTAATTCGCTACTATAAAGGGAAATACCGCTATCCTGAGCGTTTTAACTACCGCTAAACTTATTTTTATTAATATACTTTACGTTAATAAAGAATAACGTAATATGTTTCTAAACGTTACCGTCGCTTATTAAGGTAGCTCTTTCCGAAATATCATTATCAATACTTGTTACATAGGTACTCGCCCCTAGTAGCAACCACCCAGCTTACCTAAGCTGGTCAAGTACTTCTATGTATACTTATAGATTACTCCATACTTTTTAATAGATTTCCTTCTTTCTAGTTAATTAATATATACCTTCTTACCCGTATTCTATTATTCTTTTTACGCGCGACCTAAAAAACTATACGTAGCTCTTACTAACTACGTAATAGTTATAAGCCTGGGGTACTTTTAAGAAGCTATCGTTACTTAGGTTATTCTAACGTAAATAAGTATTATATATTTATTTATCTTTTAGATGTTATGATTATTTTCCTTTCTTTTTCCTATACCGGTACTCTACTTTTGTATCTAATATTAAATATGTACTTACTTATTAACTATGTCGATAAATACGTCCGAATTCTCTCTAGATAAGATTCTAATTAACGTATACCTACGAGTTTACGATAAGTAACTACGTTAGTTCCTTACGCTAAAGTTAATAGTTACTTAATTCGGTATTTAGAAAGACGTAGATCTAGACAGAGTTAAGTTTAACCTTAGTCGTATTATAGTAAGTATTGTTAAGGAGTATATTACTTAAGAAAACGCTCTCCTTAAAGATAACTATAAGAAAGTAACCTACGAATAAGTATCGATCGATACCGAAGATTGAAGAGATTAACCGATAAAACTTAAGGCTCTTATTCGAGAGTAATAAGTAACTTTTTATAATAAGTTCATTTCCTAATAAATAACGATCGAGGCTTAGGTTATAGTTATTAATAAATAATATAGGATTCTCTGCGGTTAGATTTTCGTATCTATCTCTATAGGCTTTTTTAAAGTAGTTAATATAGAGATTTAATTCTTAGAACTCGACTCGATAATTTAAAACCTTATAAAGAACTTTTGTAAGTAGATTACTTTTATTAAAGTATTTATTAAGACGTTCGTTAGACGAGAATACCGTAAGATATCCTAAAGAATAAGGATAAGTATCTACAATCCTAAGTAATTCTACGTTACGTAATAATATACTTTTCTTCGTATTCGCGCCTATTATATTAATAAGATTAAAGGCGTTATAGGAGTAGAAGATTTTCTCGAAGTAGTTAAGGTAAAAATCGTAATCGATTAAGTTACTCGGGTATTAATCGCTTTTATAGAAACCGGTAGATTTAACGAATAACTAAGGACTCTTAAGTAATTAGATATTATATTTAACACTTTCGTTATTAAGAATAAATAAAAAGGTAAATTTAGTTATAGGATTTTTATAATAACCTATTAAGGCCCGA